CATTAATTTTCTGTACGATTCTAAACACCTCCGTGATTAAATTTGGCGTGTAACCTTTCGCAAAGGTTATCTTGAATTTGCTCATACGTATCGAGTCATCCACTTTGAATCGCGAGAGTGTGACGGTCTTTACACTATACCGTGATTAAAAGTTTGTTGATGATTGTGGGAGTCACATCGATAAGTTGTACGATAGTTCGATGTTTTCGTACTCTGATACTAGACGTGGCAGCAAGTCGATCCATTTGTAATTTTCATTGTGCGTAAATTTTTTCCATATATCGTTTTTCAATGTACGATTGAACCATTCGACGACCGACGCCTTCATTATGGAATGCAATGAATAATAATTTATGTTGTGTTTTTTAAAGTTTTTGCACGTTTGTGTTGTAAAATTCTTTTCTCATATCGGTTTGCAAATTTTTCAGGCATCTTCTATCATCTCGAATTATCTTTGCTATCGCTGTTATCTCATTTCCATTCTTTATTTTGAGCGGTACAGCTCGTGTATGCTTACTCAACATATCGATAACAGTAAGAATGTAGTAATAACCTTTGTTAAATCGTGTGTAAGGGCGCATTTTGATCACATCAGCCTATCACAGGTCATTGTATCCGTAAACTATGACACGTCTGGGTGGAAAATTTTTTCTCGCTGGAGCGTGCAGTTCATCTACTAGTCGCCACTTTTCAAGACTTTTCTTCTCAGACATTTTTTTGTCGTGTATACGATGCAAAAAAATGTTACAAAGATTTTACGCAATCAATACGTTGTTGATCAATGTTTCGACTAAAATTGCTGCGTATTTCCCGTTTCAATTTATAATAAGGTCAGCTTCACGAAGTTTCTCAATAATGGATAAGATTTCGTTATCGTGGGCATTATGACCTGTCTGAAGTCTCAAGCAATCGAAGACGATCCACAAGTTCGTTAGGATTGTCCCAATAAACATAATCGATTTTATTTTCATTTAGAGTCATGGTACGCGGTATTATACCTTTTCCGACTTTTTCGCCTAACTTGTTGTTTAGTTTCCTGGCGGGTGGTATACCCGTTCCAACTTGTATTTTACCGGTCACCAAGGGTGTTATTATATTTTTATATTTGCACTCTTTGCTACCCACTATTGGATTATCCGCTTTATGGCGCCTATGAGCATTCAGTTGCCAACAGTATATTTTTATATGCTAATTTATCATTCTCTGGATAAATAGTGTTGTCGGGAATATTTTTGAAAATTAATTCATACATCCCAGGTAACCCCATACCTTTATATTTTACTCCATCTCGATCACGAAATCTCTGTGTCTAAATCGAACTGTTTATCACTGAGCATCGTGCCGTTCTTATTGAGATATACACCATAAACGTGATCTCCTTTTCTCTGACGCCACCGAGAAGCATATTTACGTATTTTTATCCCAGCGGCCAGTTGATTATACAACTTTTCACGAACTTGTTGCGTTTGATAAGATTGTTTAACTAATGTTTCAAGCAGTTCATAAACATTTTGGGCGTTTCATAAACATCTTCGGCTAAGGGAGAATGTAAATGTGAAATTTTATCTAAACTCTGAATTTTATCCGTACGATTTAAATCTAGACTTTGACAAACGCAGAGCTGCTATTTTGTATGATATGTATTTACGTTTCCGTACGTCTTACTATCAAATTCCTCGTGAAAGAAATGAATCGTCATTCCAATTAAATTTTTTGAGAAATTTTACTCTAGTAATCATTGATTGTTCGCGATAAAATGAGTTCGTCAGGAGTGGCACTGTGAATGTACGATTAGAATTTGAATTCAAAGAGATTGTAACCACGAATACAACCGCTTATTGCCTCATCATACACGACCGCGTAATCGAATACAGCTCAATGTCCAACGTAGCACGCAAAATTGCGTAAATTATCGTTTTCGCGAAAGTGTAATACTCTCTTTTTGATATAAGGGATAAAAGTCAAGATTTTTTTCTGGTCGAGAACAGTCTCAAAAAGTCATTCGCTATGGCCATATCAACGTTTGTGGCTTTGCAAGGATTTGTCGTTGGAAGGAGATTTATTGAAGGAAGTAACTGTGCTGAGAAAAGGAGCCATTCTTTCTTATTACATTTTATATGCCCCATGTCATGGAATATCTTGATAAGATCTGAAAAATCTTGTTTCCTGCTTATCCACCATAGATTGCAATGGGAAGACGGAATGATTCTACAACATGGCGAAACATCTGATTATAATGGCTATAATCGGTGCAGAAGAGAATGACAACAATAAGACTTTCATAATAAGACTCTCATATAGGTTAAAGGACATAAAAAACGCGAATGATTGGCTGATTTACTCAATAGTGACAACATGACCATTGAAACCTTGGACGTTGATTATGAAGATATAGAATCTTTGAATAATCTAGATACTAATATTATGTGGAAAACATGCTAAGAATTGTGCGTTACAAAATGTATTATATTTAAAATATATAACTGGTGATCACAACGTCAAAAAGAATTGTATCAATTTGAAAAAAATAAAGTATGAGATTTTTTTTAAATATTATAACTAGTATTTTTAATTTCTTTTCCCTTTCTCAGTAATTAAGAATCAATTAACAATATAATAGCTATTCGGTAGTACGATCCAATAAGTATTCATGTTAGTGAATAAGAAAGCGCGTGTCACGCTTCGCCTTTGTCTTATACCATTAAAAATTAGTTTTTTTGACTGAGATATATAATGTTAACATGGAATTATTTTTTTTATAAATGATATCTTGCAAAAATATTTACGTTTTTCGTCGTGTCTTTCGGAAGTGATATTATACTTTTTTTATATACTTTTGATCGAGCAATGCTAAGGATTCTTTTCGAAAAATATCAGATATCCTGGAACAGACCATTTAGATTGAATCAACCAAAAAGCCTTTGAATATGGATAAACAAATCTTGAGTAATATCATTGCAATAAAACATCCTTCTTTTTCAGTAGTTTATCCATTATATCCGCTAATTAGTCATGTCATGTTGACGCTCGATAAGTTCTGTTTTAAGATGCTTAAGGTGATGCTTTAATCTCTTCATAACTTTCTCAGCTCGATATGTTTTTATTCGCAAATAACTTATTTTCTTTTTCTATGGCGAAGACACTGCCAATCAAATTCTTTTTACATCACTATTTACCTTGAGACGCTTTCTCTTTCATTGGATCGATCTTTTAATATTCGGACATAATGGACAGATTTTAGAATCAGCTACCAACAGCGAACATTTATTATGTCGCCATGTTCCAATGGAATCTTTGTAGGCCAAAACATAATCGAACATTACCAAATCATTGTCACTGACATTTATGGCACCTTTGCAAATATTTAAGTCTATTTGAAAGAGTATTTCGTTCAAATCTTTGAGTAATGTGATCCACTTACATCATATATCGAGTAAATTAGATTCAATTATTGGCCTTCGCATTACATTTACTATCAGCTTCGTATCATTGAGGAGAAAAACCTCCTTTACTGACTCTAGCGTAAACCAATTTGAGAAGTTTTTTAAAAATAGACATTCGTACATGTAAAACACAATAGCTTCTGCATTATCACAGGATACAATCCGATATTCCCAATTGGCTGGCATAAAATGCCTTGTTTGACACAACTATCAAAAGTAAGCATCACATTTTCATTAACATAATTAGCATCGTCCTTTGTACTGTTTGCTCTGATGTGTTCGGCATGAATTTCACATTCTTTATTTTCAAAATTTATATCTGTTGAATTGATTGCTTCGATTATTATCGGTTCTTGAGGTTTAACTACTGTCACCTCTGTCCATGGAAATTGCGAAGGTACAACTCCTTTACACAATTTGGAGCTTTGTACGATGCACTCTAAAATCAAACAATACATTTTAAGAACAATAACAAACATATAATTAGAGACAAAGATGTACAAATGTTACTTACAGTGCCACTTATCTTTCCGTTATAAAGCAGGTCTTCTTTCCAAAGAATTTCTTCTAGTAAAAAGTGATTCGCACACATCACTTATTTATCCTTTTTATCCAAAGTACTCTTTTGATCTAGAATACTTCTTTTCAAAGCCATTTACCACAATTTAGCAATTTTTTCATCACTTAGCACAGAGAAACAAGGCACTTTTTCAGAATTGGATTTATATTCTATCGTACAGCCAGGCGCAATACACTTACATAGCATTGTCTATTTTTTTTATCAAGAAAATGCAGCACAAATAACATTAATTAACTGCAAGAATTCACAATTGTCACTCGAAGCTTCTTTTTCTTTTTTGTCTTTTAATGATCTTCATAATGAGATTCACTTGGCCAGTCTGTATCCAAGCGATCCAAGCACAGTTGAAGTCGCTTTCCAAGAATAATAAAATGATGCAAGGATCACCTAAGCACAAAGTTTGTCGCTCGAAGCACTTGAAGGACTTGAAGCAAACAGTTGAGAGAAACATGGAGAAATAATATGCTAAACATGCCGGACAGGCAGGACCGGTTCGTATGGGAATAGGTGATTCAATTGACGAGTTAAATTCTCAAGACAAGCCCACGCTTGTCGTGTGATGTGATATAAAAGGCATTGATCGATACTTTCCTTGTAACTAGTAACAATGTATTTTATTGCGGGAACACGAATGAATGTGACCGTACAGGATGAGCGCCATAATCTATCTATCTTCTTATTTTTCTTTGACGCTGCTTGTAGGCAACTCGCAACCTACAAAATCCCTAGGCTTTCTACACTCGCTGCGCTAGTGAGGTATTGAGAACGTAGTTCCCTACATATTGCCTCCCGAGTGACAACGAATCTAAACACTATGCTTATTAACTAGGTTAACAAAATACTGTTTTAGTGACAGGTACATTTATAATGCCGGCACTTAGATCTATCATATAAAACATATAAAACGTATTATATAAAACATATTATATAAAACATATCATTGTCTTTGGTGTCTATCTTAAGCTAATTACATTTTGTCATTGGGAGTATTTATTATAATTATAAGGCGAAGGTGACTTTTTTCTTCGGACGCGCATATGTTTTTTTAAAGCTGGTTGCTCGTTGCTGAACGAATTGGTTATTTGTCCTGCTTCTAGGGTTGCACTACATAAGTCATCGCGTATGCCATATGCTGGTTTTAAATTTTCGACCGATACACTGCGCTGTGTACCGTTAACATCAATGTCGAATACTCGATCCGACACACGATTTACGATTTTGTGAGGGCCGGTGTAAGGACGCTCTAACGCTTTCTTGGTACCGCCCACCCATAGAAACACATGGGAACATGAGTATAAATCTTTGAATACAAATGCGCGTTTCTTATGCTCTACCGAGATTGACTTAATTTTGCGCATATGCTCGTGGAATTCTTCGATGAACATTTTAGGATTAGGAATGAAGTCGTCCGGCAGTACAAATTTTCCGGGGACGCGCAGCGTCGTTTCGTAAACGAATTCTGCAGGCGATGCACCGGTGTCAAGGCAGACATGAGTACGCAGACCTAATAGTACGGTCGAAAGTATTCGTGACCAACTTTTATTAGCATGACACATTATTGCAGTCTTTAAGCTTCTATGCCACTGCTCGATCATATCATTCGAGGCGGGGTGATACGCCATGGTACGAATTCGTTAACAGCCGATCAGCTGAAGAAGTGCAGTAAAAAGTTGTGCTTCGAACTGGCTACCTTGATCCGTAGTTAACGTTTTAGGTGCTCGAAAGTTTGCTATCCAGTTGTCATAAAACGCGCATGCCACTGTAATGGCTTCGGTGTCTTTGAAAGGTCTTGCTACTGGCCAACGCGAAAATCTCAATCAATAATCGTCACACAATATTTGTACCCGTCCGACCCGTCAGGCAAAGGATTTATTAAATCCATGTGAACATGCTCGAAACGCCCGTCAGGCGTGACAAATTTTTTAGGATTTAGATGAACAAGTCGAGTTATTTTTGACTGTTGACAATCTAGACAATTTTTGCATCATTTCGCAATGTCGCGATGCATGTTAGGCCACACATACCGTTGACGGATGAACCGATCAGTGACTTTAGGGCCCGGATGAGCCGCGTCATGAAACATGTGAAAGACGCGATCTCGTAAAGATGCTGGTATATAGGGGCGGATTGCCTCGCCGGTCATTTCACAATAAAGTATAGTATGCGTCGGCTGCTACTGAATTCGCTTCATAGTAAGCGAAAATTCAGGAGATTCGCGGATGGACCGTAGCTCCTCGTCTTGTTCTTGTTGCTGTGCAAGCTCATTTAGTTCAATCTCAGCAGATAAACGGATGGCTTCGATGCGGGAAAGGGAATCCACCACGATGTTATCTTTGCCCGATAGGTATTCGATACGCGTGGTGGAGGATTTCCTTCGAGGAAATAACGAAAGTATTTAACTGCCTCGGCAATTACTATGAGCTCCCGATCGTACGCTCTGTAGTTCTGTTGCGCCGAACTTAATTTGTGCAAAAAGAACGCAAGCGGTTTCCACGAGTCGTCCAGGCGTTGTTCGGCCCCGATGGCGAAATCTGACGCGTCACAGACGAGACGCGTCTCGGCTGCGTCGGAGGGGTGAAAGAGTCGCGTTGGCCAGACTCTCCTTGCATTTATTAAACGCTTTCTCAGCCGCCGGCTCCATATGATTGGCCGTTTGTCATTTTTGCGTGAGTCGCGAAGGTACTTATTTAGTGGTACTTGAATGGTAACTGCATTATGCAGTAGTTTACGATAAAAGTTGACAAGCCCAAGAAAACAACGCAATTCAACTATAGTGTTAGGCCTTGGAAACTCGCGAATGGCCTGAACCTTATCGAATATTTACAATCTTCGCTGTTAATCGTAAAGCCGAGGAATTCTAATTCTTGCTTGCCGAACTCGCATTTCTCTACATTGAGTCGTAAATAAAACTTTTTTAATCGCTGTAACACTATGCGTAAGTGAGCTTCGTGCTCTTCAAGAGACGTCGATGCTATGAGAATGTCGTCGATGAATGCAAACACAAATTCCAGATCACCTAATGCGCGGAAGATTTGACGCTGGAATGTTTGACTCGCGTTTCTAAGACCGTCATAAATTTATATTCGATCAGCCCGAAGGGCGTAACGACAGCCGTTTTCGGAATATCTTCCGGTGCCACTGAAATTTGGTTGTATGCCTGATGCAGATCTAGCTTAGAGAAAATGACTTTCCCCACAGATTGGAGAAACAGTCGTGCAAATGTGGTACGGGAAATTGTCCAGTACGGTGATCGCGTTAAGACGATGGTAATCGCCATAGATCCTCCATGACCCGTCTTTTTTCTGTACCCGTCTTTTTTCTGTGAATGGGACTTTCCCATGGACTACTGGAAGGACGGCATATACCGGTTTCGACTAGCCGTTGAAATTCAGCCTTTGCTGTTTTTAATTTTACTGGACTTAACCGCCTGGGGCGCTCGGCTACCGGCGGGCCTATGGTAATGATATGATGACGAACATTGCTTCCACAATTTGGAGATGCCTATTCTAAACCGGTGATCTCCGGAAATTCAGATAAGATGCTCGCGAATTTCGTACTGGGATTGACCGTGCTGATGACAAGTTGTGGTACCGATTTGACAATGCCTGACACGTACACATTATTTTGTGAATCGATGAGTCTGCGACCCTTAAAGTCCGGAAGGAGATCGTAATGTGCAATCAGGTCGGCCCCAATAATCGGGTACGGAACTGATGCTACGCAGAAATTCCAAGTGAGCGGGCGTATCCCTAAATGTAGCGTTCGGAACGACTTCCTATAAGTGTCTGTACGCGTATTGTTTGCCACGTAAAGTTTGAAATTGGTCGGAATTTTGTTCTTCTGCTGGGAAGCAGCGAAATTTCCGCCGCCGTTATCCACAAAGAATAGCTCTCCAGTGACTCGATCGCGGATGAGAGACGGACAGAAGAATTAACGCCCGCCATACTTGTCTCCTCGGTGGTAAACGACTCTATTCCCCCGCCTTCCAGTCCGTTAAAGCCTTGGGCTTTGGCCAATCACACGGAGATTTGTCGGTTTCCTTACAAACTCGCGCCTAGGTCCCGAAAGTACGACACGAGAGCCTCTGCTTTTGGAACGCTTACGATTTTTGTTTACCCCGTCTTTCGTCGGACCGCTTGACCTCAGCCGCGAGGGTGATATCGGCCATATCGGCGGTCAGATGGTCGATCTTAGCTTCTAAGTCGGACGGTTTCGATTCTGACAACGATGTGGAGGCACACTGCGCAGAATCACCCACGATCTCAACTATTTTATCAGCCATTTTGGCTAGCTTGTCCAGATCCGTGCTTTCGGAGATCGCAAGAATGCTTCTAATGTGCGGTGATAAGTGTTCGAAAAACAAAACTGTTTTTATAACGGCGTCGTCACATCGCTTGTCAGAGTTCAAGTTACAGAGTCGACTGAGGATCTGCGACGGTTTCCCTGACGTCAGCACTTGGCCTTTTATTAGTTGTCGCAACTGACTCTCTGCTGACGCTGAAAAATTTTGCAATAATATGCTGTTTTAATTTGGTTCGTTCTCATCAGGCTCCGCGATGAGATCTCTGCAGCACGCGATGGTTTCGACGTCCAAAGACATAATTACGTGATATGCCTTAGTCTTTTGCTTTGTGATTCGTGCGGCCTCGAACGTGGCCTCGACTTGAATGAATATCACCGTATTTTTTATTAAAAACGGCGGAATTTTCGGAACCCTATATGAATCCACGCGCGCAACATTGTTCTGCTGAAGCATCGCTTGCGCCCACTGCTCCTGCATTTCCTCAACGGTGGGAGGAGCCACGTCTATCATGACGAAGCTCGCGAACCACCAGTATTCCCTAACGGTCTCACGTATTAACCGCACGCTAGGTAAACCGCCGATCGCTTAATATTAACTTGTCAAAAATGGAGAAATCGTTAATTACTGTTCATGCGTTAACCTCGCGAAGAAAACGCAGATCTACTTTCCTGTTCTGCTAGGTTACGCGCGCTAAAAACTAACGCACTGCGCGCGCAATTTGCCCGACTACAATGGCGGCGACGACGCGCTTCGCTGGACACAATAGCGGCGATGTCGTCCTTCACAGGTCACAATGGCGGCGATGTTGTCCTTCACAGGTCACAATGGCGGCGACAGCGATGGCGTCCTGAACGCCAGTTCCTGGGCTGGCCCGTTCAGTTCCCACGGAGGCGGCACGCTGCGCGCCTGTCGTTGGATATGTCCCTGCGGTGCTTCCGACGGCTAGACTTTTCTGCCCCGGCCTCAGCGATGAGGGCCTTGCGACCGTTCACGATATCGGTGATGGGTCTCCTGCTGCTCACGACGTCGGCGATGGGCCTCCTTGTCAGCTACGGCGTCGGCGATGAGCCTCCTTGTCGACTACGGTGTTGGCGATGTGCACTGCTGCTCGGTCCGCAACCAAGTTTGTTTCGAAATTGTTCGAACGACGGTTACCGGTCGATCGCTTCTTCTTCTCGATCACGACGGGGTCACCAATGGGAATAGACGAGTCAATTGACGAATCAAATTCTCAAGACAAGCCCACATTTGTGATATAAGAAGTAATGATCGACACTTTTCTTGTAACTAGTAACAATGTATTTTATTGCGGGAACATGAATATGACCGTACAGGATAAGCGCCATAATCTGTCTATCTTCTTATTTTTCTCTGACGCTGCTTGTAGGCAACTCGCAACCTACAAAATCCCTAGGCTTTCTACACTCGCTGCGCTAATGAGGTATTGAGAACGTAGTTTCCTACATCCGGTCGTCGCGTATCGCCATCTGCCGAATTAGTTTATAGAAGAGACATTAAAGAGATCCACTTTTTCTTGGGTGGGAGTAGGAAGTTCCCCTGGTATCGAACTGCAATGGGAGAAAGAGAGAGAGAGCATGAGTAAGCATAGAGTCGCAACGAGTTGGAGGGAAAGAACTGCACCTTATAATGGGTGGAAGAGAAAGAATAACATGAGGGGCTCTGTCTCCCTCTCGCCTAGTGACATCAGACCCCCTCCCTCGAACGCCATGTCTAGCAACGTAATTTCCCCCACCCTTGGACTCTGACGCACGCACGCACACACGCGTATACTGCGTATACGAACTAACACGGAGTGATTCAGAACCGGCTTAGTATACCTACTGTTATAATTTTTGATTAGTAAATTATTTTTTTATACTAATGTATACATTTAAATTAATTAATACCTATGCATTTCTTCAAGTATATCGTTACCTAAATAGTCATTTTTTTCTGATTTGTACCTATGTCTTCAACTATTGAAAAAAAGATTTTCTATCAGTAAATAAATTGTAACAACTTATCCTTTATAATACTGTGGCAAGTCGTTACAGAGTTGAGGCAAGTTGTTACATTTATAATATCACTTGAAATACATATAAACACGTTGTCTCACCTAAGACCGGCCACCTGAATAACACCACAATTTTGGAGATAGGAAGAAATGCTTGAATTAAAGTTGTTCGGTATCAAGAGGGGCATCATGTGATGATGAACATTTTGTCCCAAGTGGAGGCGCTTAGGAAATTTGAAGATTACATTCGTTTTTTTAAATGGAATTATCAGAATTTTTTTACATAATATGATTTTTCTAACTAT